TTTTTTTTGTATTTTAAGGAACGGTCTACAGGGTGTTCAGGGTCTCACTACTATTGGACTCGTAGTGGTGCGCGCCACCATGCCCAGTCTCAGTTGCCAGCCTCAGTGCGCCCCGGGGGCAGGGCTGGCATGGCAGGCCTGGGGATTGAACCCCCAACCCCTGCACCTGCTTGCAGGCACTTTAATCTGCTGAGCTATTTGGCTGGTCCAACATGAAATATTTTTAAAAATCAAGATTCAGACTTATCAGACTGGCAGAGACCCAGACCCAAAGGTTCAATATGCCCAGTGCTGGTGAGGCTGTGGGGAAACAAGCCTGCTCACACCTGAGAATTTACATATGAAGAAACAGGGCATTTATGGGGATGTGAATCTTGCAACGCTCTGGAAGGTCAGACATTTAGAGGCATCTCTCAAAAGCACAAATGTAGCCACACATGGTAGCTCAGTAATAACCTCGGCATTTTGGGAGGCTGAGGCAGGAGTCTAAGTTCAAGCCCAGCCTGGGCAATTTAGTAAGACCCTGTCTCAAAACTTTTTTTCCCCTATATTTAGTACAGGATCTACAGGGTCTCACTACACAGATTGAACTCGTAGTGATCCTCCTGTTTTCTTTCCTTTTTTTTTTTTTTTTTTGCAGTACCAGGGATTGGTACCATGTGCTTGGGACCATGTGCTTGCCAGGCAAATGCTTATTCTACTAAGCTATCTCCCCAGCCCCAATCCTCCTGTTTTTGGCCTCTCCAACACCGGGATTATAGGCACACACCACCATGCCCAGTCTAAGTCTCAATCAAACCCTGGTCTCTGCACCTGCCCAAGCAGGTGCTTTAGTCTGCTGAGCTATCTAGCCTGCCCTAAAACTTTTTAAAAAATGTCTAAGGGGCCAGGACATGGTGGCCCATGCCTATAATCCCAGTACTCGGGAGGCTGAGGCAGGAGGATTGCGAATTTGAGAACAGCCTGGGCTACAAAGTGAGTTCAAGGCCAGCCTGAACTGCACAGTGAAACCCTGTTTCAAAAAAGACCAAAAAAAAGGGGTGGGGAGATAGCTCAGTAGAATAAGTGCTTGCCTGGCAAGCACAATGGCCTCAGTTCAATCCCTGGTTCTGCCAAAGAGGGGGTGGGAAGACAAGGAAAAAAGGCAGTGAAATAAATTGTGATGGGGTGGGGGTATGTCTCACAGATAGAATGATTGCCTAGTAAATGTGAAGTCCTGAGTTCAGTATCCAGTACAGCAAAAGAGAAGAAAAATTGTGATGTAATATAACAATGGAAGCCGGGTATGGAGATATAAGCCTATAATCTCAGCACTCAGGAGGCTGAGGCAGGAAGATCAAAAGTACAAACCCAGATGACAATTTATGTTGTTTTTCTTTTTAAGGAAGGGTCTACCGGGTGTTCAGGGTTTCACTACTAGATTGGACTCGTAGTAATTCTCCTGCTTACAGTCTCCCAAGTGCTGGGATTACAGGCACACGCCACCGTGCCCAGTCTCTGGACGACAATTTAGTGAGACTCTGTCTCAAAAGCTCAAAAGGGCTGGGGATGTAGCTCAAGGAAAAGACCCTAGGTTTAATCCCCAGTACGGCAGTAGGAGGAGGAATATGGGGTGGGCTGATGGGAGGTAGGAAGGAAGGTGGGTCAGGGACAGCTTGAAAGGAGACTGAAGGAGCTTTGAGGAACATGGGGAAGGATGTGGCTCGAGAGGTTGGGGTGACAGGAGGCCACTCACGGCAGAAGCTGCTGTTCCTCCAGAGTGGAACCCTGACTCCTTGGCTTTGGCAGGCAGCCCCAAAGGCCTGCAGGGCCTCGCACAGTGCCTGGTTCAGGCCTCCGAACTCACAGAGTTTGCCCGCGCAGTCCAGCAGGAAGGGCTCGAGGGCCACACGAGTGGCACACTCGGCCCATGCTGGAGCCTGCAGGGCTGCTTGGCAGCGCCCCTGGGCCACCTGGAGGTCGGCCAGCCTGCAGTTTTCATTCGGGGTGGGCTCAGCCCGCTTGTCCTCCACCTGGCAGCTGGCAGGGAAAGGAAAGGAATCAGCATAGGGACAGCCACTGTGCCACCTGTGGTGATGGTGTGCTGTTCCCATGTGACCCTGAGAGAACCTTGGGAACTTTTGCCCCTGCTTGTCCTCACAGGAAGCTGGTCTGAGCTGAGGCTAACTTTGCACGTGACCTATCTCCTCCTAGATTTCTTTTCCTCTGTCTTTTTTTTTTTTTTTTTTTTCAGTACTGGGGATTGAACTCAGTACCCTATGCTTACTAAGCAAACACTTATTCTACTGAGTTATCTCCCTGGGCATTGTCTTCTCTTCTTCTTCCTTTCATACCAGGGATTGAACCCCAGGGCCTTTGCACTGAGCTACATCCTGGTTTGTTTATTTTTATTTATTTGATACAGAGTTTCACCAAGTTTCCCAGGTTGGACTTGAATTTGTGATCTGCCTGCCTCAGCATCTCAGAGGGCTTAGATTCAGGTGTACCTCACCAGACTAGGCTCCTTCCTTCCTTCTTTTTTCTTTCTTTCTTTTCTTTCTTTCTTTTCTTCTTTCTTTCTTGTTTTCTTTTTTTTTCTGTCTTTTTGAGACAGGCTCTCACTATCAGACTGGCTTGAACTCATTTTGTAGCCCAGGCTGACCTTGAAGTCATGGCAATCCACCTACCTCAGCCTCCCAACTGCTGGGATTACAGAATTTGGCCACCAAGCCTGGGTTTCTTTTTCTTTTCTTTGGTTTTCCCCTCCTGCATTTCTAAGTAGAAAAGGAATTTCCTACTTCCCCAATGTTAGGTTTTTTGGTGCAGCAGAGATGTTAGAAAAGAAAAGACAAGGAAAGAGAGGCCTTCACTGAGGTCACAGAGATGACTGCAGGAAGATGGCAGGGTCCCATGACCTGATACCCAGGGGGCTGGCTCCACCTTTTGCTAGGGGTGGAGTTTTGAGAGGGGGGTACTCAGTGAGGTATAAGGAGCTGGTGGGGGTGTTTTCTTTTCATGCAGGAAGGATAAGAGGAAGTTGTATTCAGAGCTGAGGGGAAAAGACAGAGGAAGTGGTCATTGGGAATATAAGCTGTTGTTTTGGGCCTCAGCCATGTTAGACCATCACCATAAGGGTTCAGCCATTCATGCTTAGGCCAGAACCTATCACCCAGGTTGGTGCCAACAGCCTCGAAGCCCAGAAGCCTCCTTCCTCAAACCGCAGCCCTGAAGGGATGCCTGCTCTTCCTGTCCCAGATGTGGCCTGCAGTGCTTCCCTGCTCCCCCGGCCACAGGGAGGAGGAGGTCCTAGGGGGCTGTTACTCTGTTTTAGTGTCCTTGTCTTTCCAGCTGTCCATGAACTCATGGTCATCCTGGGCTGGTTCATCACTGGACATCACCAGCTCGTCTTCCTTTTCCCCGTTGAAGTTCCCACACACACCGCAGACCTGGGTGGGTACAGGGTTCTCAGCTCCAGGAGGCTGAAGGGCTTTTTTTTTTTTTTTCAGTACTGGAGCCTGAACCCAGGACCTTCTTACTGAGTTATAACCCTAGCCCTTTTTCTTTTATATTTTGAGGCAGGGTTTCACTAAGTTCCTCCTGCCTTGGCTTCCAGAGTGCTGGAATCACAGGTATGTACCACCTCGGCTCACTCCCAAAGGCATTATCGGGACACTCCCCTCCACCCAGAAAGGTGCACTTGACCTCACTGGTTTGGGGAGATTTGGGGTGCTGCCCTACCCCACCCCAGGCTGCCTCCCCCACTGAGTTGGTATCGCCCTCACCTTTCCATAATAAGCCACAGGGACTTTGATCTCTAAGAAATGACGGCCATTAAACTTGACTTGCACGCCAGACTGCAGGTGCACCATGGTGTAGCTGCTGCTGGAGGTGATGCTGAGCCCTGTGATCTGGGAGGTGGCAGGAAGGGTGACAGGTGTGCCATTGATCTGAAGAGGAGGGCGGCATCTGTGAGTAGGAGGAAGACCAGCGTCCCCTCCCCAGAACTCAAGCCTCTCTCCGGGGCTTGTCACCATGCCCAGCTCACCAGCACTCGGTGGCCCTCCTGCAGAGTGACCTGGACATCAGCAATGTTGATGTAGACCTGGCGGTGGGCAAAAGCCCCTGTTCTGCCCTCGCTCTTGGCGCTTATCTTGAAGACAAGCAGGTCCATGTTGGGGTGACACACCTTCACCAGGATGTGCGGGCAGGTGTCCTGCACAAGGTGGCTACTGCCGTCGAAGCCCACGTACTCAGAATCCCCCGAGGCCCTGCAGATCCCTGCATCTGGGGGAGAGAGCTGGCTGAGGGGTCGCCCACATTGGTGAGATTGAGCCCTGCATCCTCTGTGCCTGGAAAAGGCCAGAATCCCAGGATAGGAAAAGAGGGACATCCAGGAAAAGTCCTGAGGGCCAGCTGGTGCAGGGCCGGGGCAGAGATAAGAACAATGTCATCTCATCACTTTCAGTTACCATGGGAGAAACACAGGTGCTGTGGCTTGGATGTTCCTTGTCCCGTTTCCTGTGTTAGAAACTTAATCCCTAAGTGGTATGGTAATGGGATTTCCAGGGGGTGCCTTTGGGCTGTATTGCAGTTTACATATAAAATACCACCCAAGGACTCATGGATGGAGGGCTTGAACCCAAAAGCAGCAGTGTCCCGGGGTGGGGCGGGGAGAGGTGACTGTGGATCTCAGGGTGCTGGCCTCATCCCTAGATTGCTCCGTGGATGAGTTCCCAGCTGCGTGTTGGGAGTCGGAGCCCAGGAGCAGGAGGGAGGCCCTTAGAGGGGCTCCTTTCAAAGGTCTGTGACCAATGACAAAGTACACACTGAAAGTTTATATTCGGAAAGTTTATTACAGTACAAGACACACTGCAATCAGCCCCTTTCAAAATCCTCTCCTCGGGCCAGGGAGATGGCTCAGTGGAATAAGCGCTTCCCTGGCAAGCGCAAGGGCCTGAGTTCAATCCCCGGTTCCGCCAAAAAAAAAAAAAAAAGAAAATCCTCTCCTCAATTCCAATGTGCTCACTCATAGACTCTTCCTGCCACTTCCTGAAAGCAGCTCTGGAAGTTTTTTTGTGAGTCTCTCTCAAGAGTGATCAACAATACAGTGAATGTAGCCACTTAGTTCAATCCAACAGAGCTGCAGGCTGGTAAAAGCCTAACACTGCATCCTCATCCACCTTTTATTCACTCACATTTCTCCCAAGTCAAAATGATTTTGAAAGACCACTGTTTTCCATCCACTTGAGGTATAGAGGCATAGGAACTAAAGATTCTCCACAAAGGGCAGCCATCTCCCTCTTGGCACCTTGGCGGCCCTCAGACCCCTCATGAAGCCCAAGATCGTCAAAAAGAGGACCAAGAAGTTCATCTGGCACCAGTCAGACCAATATGTCAAAATTAAGTGCACCTGGTGGAAACCCAGATGCATCGACAACAGAGTGCGGAGGAGGTTCAAGGGCCAGATCTTGATGTCCAACATAGGTTATGGAAGTAACAAAAAGACAAAGCACATGCTGCCCAGTGGCTTCCAGAAGTTCCTGGTGCATGATGTTAAGGAGCTGGAGGTGCTGCTGATGTGCAGCAAGTCTTACTGTGCAGAGATTGCTCACAACGTCTCCTCTAAGAACTGCATGGCCATCATGGGAAGAGCAGCCCAGCTAGCCATCCAAGTCACCAATCCCAATGCCAGGCTGCGCAGTGAAGAAAACGAGTAGACGGCCTGTGTGCATGTTATTTGTGCTTCAGTAAAATCACAAAAAATGAAAGAAAGAAAGAAAGAAAAAAAAAAGACTCTCCAGAAAGAGGGCTTCCAGAACTGCTTCAGAGAGTGGCAAGAATGGTGGGTTTTTTGTTTTGCTTTTTTTGGTGGAACCAGGGATTGAACTCAGGCCCTTCTGCTTGCCAGGCAAGCACTTATCCTACTGAGCCATCTCCCCGCCCCAAGAATGGTATGTTTGAAACAAGGGGAGGATTTTAAGAGGAATTTGTGGCAATGGCTTGATGTTTGTTTGTTTGTTTTGGTACCAGGGATCAAACTCAAGACCTTGTGCTTGCCAGGCAGGTATGTAAGCTGCTGAGCCATCTCCCTGGCCCTGCAATGTGTCTTTTACTGTGATATTCTTTTAAATTTAAGATTTACCATATTTTTAAATCCCACCATTCTTGCCCCTCTCTCCTTCCTGGCTGCCATGGGGTAAGCAGCTCTGTCACCCATACAGTCCTGCCACCGTCTGTGGCCTCGCCACAGGCCCAGAGGCAATAGAGCCAGGGGACAGGGACTGAAACCTCTGCAACCACGAGCCCAAATAAACCCTTTCCCCTTTAAGTTGTTATTCTCAGATATTTTGTCACAGTCACCAAAGGTTGACCAACACAGAAGTGACGGAGTGGTGAGGAATCTGCCTTCTCAAATGCGTGTCTCTCTTCATGGAGTAATGGATTTGTGGGGTGCTCAGGGGGTGGGTTAGGTATCAGGAAACTGGGTCCATACAAAGGTCAGTTTGGTCTCTCATGAGAAACCCTCATCCTACCCAGCACTCCGGGAAGGGGGCTGCAGTGAGAGGGCCGAAAGTCTGAGCCCAGCCTGGGCAATTTAGAACTTAGTGAGACCCTGCCTCAAAAAAAAAAAAAAGATGTGTTTGTGGGGGTGTGACTCCAGCACAACACACACACACACACACACACACACACACACACACACCCTTCCTTCTTCAATAAATCACCCAGTCTCAGGTGTTCTGATGTGGAATAGGAATGGCTAGCACACTGGGTGAACCCGGAAGAGCCCTTTTGAATGCTCCAGCGGACAGTGGGGCGCTGTGGGCACCCCCAGTACTGTGAGCTCCTACCTGGGGCCCAGCAGCTAAGCAGCCCATCGTGGAGCCAGCACACCTGGTCCTCCTGGCAGGCAGCCTGGCGACAGGTGATGTTGTTGTGGACCAAGCAGGTGCAGCGGGAGGTGCAGGTCCTCTCTGGGTACCAGCTCTCCCCGACCTGTGGGGTGCTGGGATCAGCAGGGCCCACAGGACCTGGGAAGGCAGATGTGGGCAGAGCCTTCCCAGAACCCGGATGGCTCCTACGTCTGGTAATGCCTCCACCTCTACCTCCCTGCACCTGACCAGGTCTCCCTGACCCCTTCCAGAGCTCTGAGCCCTGCAGCTGTCTGGCCTGAGCTTGTCCACACCCTCAGGCTTACAGTTGGGACTGGAAGAGCGCCCCCTGCAGGCCGGTCTCTCACCGGGTGGTAGAAGCCCTGGGGCTCCACGCAGCCACACTGGCTGAGGGGCACGCAGGAGGTTCCGCTCAGCAGGTGGCCTTTCTGGCACTCACAGCCCTCCACACAAGGCAGCGCGGCCGGGCAGTCCTTGGGGGTGCTCAGGCTGAGGCAGGTGGCCGGGCAGGGCTTGGCACAGGGGCTGTAGCTGCTGTTGGGAGGGCACCTCGGAGCTAAAAGAGAGAGATGTGTTAGGAAGAACAACGTGGCGGCTTCCAGAGCTCCTGCAAATGTCCACTGACGGGGAAACAGATATATGTGGTCTATCCAGGCAATAGACTCTTATGCAGCCTTACAAAGGAAGGAGCCAAAACTGGAAGGCTGAGGCTCGAGGCTTGCAAGTCTAGTTCAGCCTGGGCAACTTAATGACTTAGCAAGACGGTCTTGAGATACAAAATATATTTTAAAAGGGCCAGGGATGTAGCTCAGTGCAAAGGCCCTGGATTCAATGTCCAGTACCACAAAAAAAAAAAAAAAAAAAACAGATTTGATATGTGGGGGGAAAAAGTGAGTATGGTAACTTTCATGTACACACACATACACACACACACACACACACACATTTTGGAGACAGGGTCTCGCTGTGTAGTGCAGGCTGGCCTTGAACTCATCATGAAGCCCAGGCTGGCCTTGAAGTCATAGCAATCCTCCTATCTCAGCCTCCCAAGTGCTGAGATTACAGGAGCACGTCACCATGCCTGGCTATGTTACATGTATTTTGCTACAATTAAAAAAAAAAACAAAAAACCTCTGGGGAAAAGAGGAAGGGAACAGAGCTGGCGTAGGTAAAAGTGGAAAGAGGCAGTAAATAGGTAAAAGTGGATGTATGTGTACGTGTGTGTGTGACTAGGGATTGAACCCAAGGCCTTCACAATTAGCTACATCCCCAGACATCTATCTATCTATCTATCTATCTATCTATCTATCTATCTATCTATCTATCTATTAAGATAGGGTCTCTAAATCTTTAATTTGCCAGGCTAGGCTTGAATTTGAAGTCCCCCTGCCTCAGCCTCCTTCAGTGCTAGGATCACAGGCTTGTACCACTAGGCTCAGCTAAAAGCAGACTTTCTGATGACATGAGAGTCAGAGGGCAGAGCCCCAGGCACAGGAGACAGCAGACAATAGGCTGGACCCCAGGAGCTGGGAGCAAGGCCCTGGGGAGGGTGGGAGCTCCCTAGGCAGAGGAGCAGGGCTGAGGGGAGAAGGGGCTGAGGTTCTGGGGCTTCCCCGGGGCAGAAGGAGCAGCAGGCGGGTAACTCACGGCAGAAGGTACTGTTGCGCCAGGCAGGAGCCTGGCCGGCCAGGGCACACAGAGACGCATACGCCTGCAGGGAGCGGCACAGTGCCAGGCTGTCACCCTTGGTCCCACACTGGCCCTGCACACAGCTGGCGAAGCTGGCCTGCGGCGGCACCAGCTGATGACATTTGGAGAAGGGCCCTGGAGGACAGGGAGAGAGGTGGGTGAACCCAAAAACTTCTGTGTGCTTAATTTGACGTCCATGTCCACCAAAAGCCAGACTGATTTTTCTTTTTGTGTGTGACAGGGTCTCACTGTGCAGTTCAGATTGGCCTTGGACTCATTTTGTCACCTGGGATACCTCAAACTCAAGGAGATCCACCTGCCTCAGCCTCCCAAGTGCTGGGATTACAGGCATGCACCACCATCCCCTGTCCCCAGGGAGAAGGACAAAGTTTGGGGAGCAAGGCTATGTCTTACCTAGAGGGTTCATCAAGATCTCACAGTTGTTACTCCAGGTACCTGTTATGTCATCTTCCTCCAGGCAGCTGGAGGGCTCGGCTCCCCCCAGGAAGCAGCTGGAGGAAAGGACAGAAAATGAAGCTGAGGAAACATCCCCCAAACTGCAGGGGTATAGGGGAGGAGAAGGAAACAGAGCTCTCAGGCGGGAAGGCTAGAGGGTACAGCTGGAAGATGCGGAGCTGGACTTCCCAAATGGGCTCTCCAGTGTGGCCATTAAGCAAGGGAAAATAGGACTTTCAAAATTTAGGCAGGCGTGGTGGCAAGCACCTCTAATCCTAGTTCTGGGGAAGCTCAGGCTGTAGTATTACCAAGGTCAGCTAGAACTACTTAGCCAGGCCCTATCTCAAGAAAGAAAGAAAAGAAAAATATTCAGATAGTGGTGCTGCACACCTCCAATCCTAGCACTCTGGGAGGCTGAGACAGGCAGATCTTAAGTGACTTTACCAAGACCTTGTCTCAAAAGAAAAAAAAAAAGGAGAGACAGATAGATAGAGAGAGAGAGGCAGGAAAAAAGAGAGAGAGGGAAAAAAAGCAAGACATAAAAATACACAATCGAAAATCTCCAACCTCAGAGAAGATCAAGAGGAGACAGTCGGCCAGTTTCCTGGCCAACTATAGTACACAGGGAATGGGGACTCGGGAGACAGACACCTCTGGTTCTGCCTGTGTCCCTATCCCAGCTCACCTGGGCTCAGAGCCTTCCGACGACCTCCAGGCAGCCCCTAGCTGGGAGGAGCTGCCTGCGGGCTTCCCGTCCGGGCGCAGGTTGTCGTCCATGCTGTTGTTGTTGTAGTTCCCTGCAGGAGTAGGCAGTGGGTAGAGGTGCCACAGGTGCCGCTGGTTCACCCAGCTCAGGATCACCACCTTCCTGACAGAAGGGGGCTTCTCACTGGCATCTGCTCTGCATTTTCGTTTTCATCTCCAGCTTTCCTTTCTTTTGCAGTAGTGAGAATGGAACCCAGGGCCTTCACACTGAGCTATAGCCCAAGCCCCCCACCTTTTTTTTTTTTTTGACACAGGTTCTCATGAAGTCACTAAGTTGACCAGGATGAGCTCCAACTTTCGATTGTCCTGACTCAGCCTCCTGGAGTGCTGGGATTTTACATCTGTGCCATCAACCCCCTCCTCCACAGCTCCCTTGAGCACCCACCCTGACACCTAGGGAACCCAACTGGTGCATCAGTGGCAAGGAGTTAGGACACCCCGTGTAGATGTGGGGCCAGGGGCCAGGACCCAAACACATCCCTGCTTTTCCTTCAAGTGCCCCATAAGCTCACCACAGAGCCCACAGAGCTGGCCAGCATAGGAGGAGGGCACTGTCACCTCCACCAGGTGCTTCCCGTCGTAGCGAACCTGAAGCCCAGAGTTCGTGTAGAGCAGGATAAAGGAGCCACTGAGCCTAATGGCCACCTGGCCTTGCAACAGCCACACAGGGAGGCCCACCCGATGGCCATTCAGCTGTAGAGGGGAGGTGGGGAGATGGTAGGAGGAGTCAGGAACTTGGGACACAGACCACATGGGGACAGAAATCTGGGGTAGGCTGGGTTTGATGTGCACACCTGTAATCCCAGCACTCTAGAAGGCTGAGGCATAAGGATCCCAAGTTAAACCTACACTAGGGAATTTTTTCTTTCTATTTTTACTCTTTTTAATTTTAAAGAGAAGAAAATAATAAAAATGATACAGAATTTCAAAACAGGATGATGGGAAATTTACAATGCTTATGATATTGCATATTGTTAACTTCACAGTAGTTCCTTTCAATGAACTTATAGAAATTAGTAGTATTATCTTAGCTATCTTGTATGTACATACATATTTTTCCCTTCTTTTTTCTCCTTCCCTCCATCCCAGTTCTTTCTTTTTAAATAATTTTTTCCTTTTCACAATATCAGTTGTGCCTTTTGTATCTTATTTACTCTTTCAGTTTCTTCCACTTGCTATAAAGATAAACTTGAAGCTTTTATAGGTAAATGTGTACAACTGGAGACCATCCTCAGAAGTGCAATTAAACAAACTTGTGTGTGTAAATATCACATTGTCTCCTTATTTTTACTTTTGTGAGGCACTTTTATACCGATTTCCATAATGGCTATACTAAATTACAATTCTCACTAACAGTACAGAAGTGTTCCTTTACGCATACATTCTCACTGACTTTTTATTTAATTTTTTAAAATGAATTTAGGACAGGGTCTCCAGGGTGTCCAGGGACTCACTACTAGATTGGACTCTTAGTGGTCCACCTGTGTGCAGCCTCCCAAGCGCTGGGATTACAGGCGCGCACCACCATGTCCAGTCTCAATTGCCATCTCAGTGCGCCCTGGGGTACACTAGGGAATTTAGCAAGACCCTATCTCAAAATATGAGTTGGAAATGTAGCTCAATGCAAAGGCCTTGGGTTCCCTCCACAGTGCTGGAGAAACAAAGAAACCAAACCTAGGGCAGGAGGAGTGACCGGTGTTTTATAGAGGAAGAGGGGTGTAGCACATCCCCAGGAATACTAAGAGGCTGACAGCTGCTAATGTGGACACCATGATGGGCGGGGTGTGGTCTGGGAGACAGGGAGCAGCACATACCATGACCCTGCGGCCTTTGATCAGCGAGATCCTGAGACTGAAGATGCTCACATGGACGGCTTTGACGTAGGCGGCTTCCAAGTCCCCTCCGCGGATTTCATTGGTGGCGCTCACAACAAAGTGGTTCTCCTGGTACCTGGGCCAGCAAGGCTGGGTCAGGATGTAGGTACAGGTGCCCAGGAAGTGGTGCAGGGCTCCATCGAATGTCAGGTAGTGGGGATCGCCCAAGGCAGTGCAGGTGGCGGAACCTGGGGAAGGCAGGACCAGCTTCAGAGTCTCAGCACCATGTGCTGTGGCAGCCATCCTAGTGAACCTGCGTCGTTCCTGGATGTGAGCTGTCCTTGGATATAGTCAAGCAGGAGGACTGCTCCATCCACACCCCATCTCTGAGGTTGTAAGGAGGCTGCTCCTGAGGTCCTGGGCATTGGGAGCCTGTCTGTCTGTGGAGGGACTGTGCCCTGGCCTCTCTTCTCCCATTCATGTCCCAGCAGTGAGCTTGAGTTTGGTTGCCATGTCCACCTCACCTTTACAGTTTATCATTTATGTCCCCCAAGGCCTCATGAACTCAGGCAGGTTTAGGTAGGTGGAAGGTGCTTGAATCTATCTCCAGCTTGCTGTTAGGAGCCAGGGTCTGTCCTGAAGGGGTGGGCCCTGGGGGTGGCCTGCCAGGGTTCATCTCCCTCCCAGGCTCCTCCCTTTTCTCTGCTTCCTGGCTGCCCTGAGCTAAGAGGTTTTCCTCAGCCATGCCCCTCTGCCAAGCTGTTTCCTTCCTTGGAGCTGGCTGACCATGGGCTAAAAATGGAAGCCAAAATAATCTACCTTTCCTTTAAATTTTCTGAAACCTCCAGAACTGTGAGCCAATATAAACCTTTTCTATTTGTAAACGGATAGATTTCAATTCTTTGTTACAGTCACACAAAGCTGACTAACACACAGCTCCTGGAGATGCTGCTTGGTGCAGGGCCTTCTCCTTACCCAGCATCCTCGATCACCTTCCCCCTGGCCACTCACCCCTGGCATAGCAGCCATACAAGCCATTCTGGTGGCCACAGGTCTCCTGGGCCTGACACTTCCAGGGCCGGCAGCGAATGTGGTTGTTCCCTCGACAGACACAGAGTTCCTTGCAGCCTCGCTTGTACCACTGCTCTCCTAGCTGAGAGAAGAAAGGAAAGCAGGTTGTCCCAGGGAGACAGAGCTGACTCGGTCCCCATATTGTAAGCAGCTAAGTTAGTTATAAATATTACAGGCAGTTAGACAGGGCTGGGCCCACTGCACAGAGCACGACTGTGGCAGAGGCGCATCCACGGAAGGCCAGGCTTCCAGAAACAGAGGACTGACTACACTGCATACTTTTCCTAGGGAGGAACAACACTGATTGATATTCTAAGTAGGCACTGGCCACCTTGGGTGGGGGACCAAAACCTCCCTAGCACAGTCCTTCACCCTCCTTTAGCCTATGTATTTGCTATGTGACCTGCTTTTTTTTTTTTTTTTTTTTTTTTTTTTTCCAGTACCAGGGATTGAACTCAGGACCTTGTGCTTGCCAGACAAGCACTTAATCTACTGAGCTATCTCCCCAGCCCCCATGATCTGCTTTTTGATCCCCATTTAATCCCCATTTAATCAATATTACCTAAGCAACTATATTTGTAATTTCATTGGCTGACCATAGTTTTGTCCCGCCTCACACCCACCTTGTGACTTCCCATTGGATCAGTATTCCACAAGTGACTATATTTGCAAACTTATTCGTGGACTATAGTTTTGTGCCTCACCTTGTGGCTTTGCTCAATAAAACACCCTCGAGAAGCACTGTCCCTCTGAGAAGCTACCTTTCTTTCAATAAACTCTTCTTACTCTGAACTTCCATTGTTCCTGTTACAGATAGCTAGATTAGCTAGAAATATGGCAGGCAGGCAGACAGTGCTGGGCCCCCCGAGGGAGTCAGTGCAGAACAGGAGAATCTGAGAATCCAGACAGCACTGGCTGGAGGCACATCTGGAGATTAAATGGCTAGTTCTACAACAGCTAGTTTTGCACACAATGGCTAGTTCTATATAGAAGGCTAGTTCTACACACATTTCCCTGAGGGACAAGGGACAAATGAGGCTTAGGATTTCTGGTATCATCTTTTTGAGATTCCCCATCCTTCCATTAGGGGTGGGCCATCCTCTTCCACCTACTAAGACTAAGACTACAGATTATCCGCCGGCGATAACAATGTCACCCATGTACTCTCCCTACTGTTAGACCAATAGGCCTAAACGACTACACTTGCCATCTTAGTGGCTGAGCATAATTTTGACCCACGTTGTACCCACCTCATGATTTTGCCCTATAAAACTTCCTAGGAGAGGTGGGCTCATTGACGACCCGCGTGGGACCCCTCCGTCTCTCAGGAGCCATTCCTGTTCTCCATCCCTCTTCCCCACATCTTTTCTCTAATACATTTTCCTACTTTTAACCTTTGCTATTCCTTAGAATTTACTCTGCAACTTCAGGGGACACAAACCCAGTATATTTGGCACCTA